TAATATATATAAGATGTGGTATGAGCACCAATGACACAACTCTCCATCCAAGTCTGCTATGTATAAAAAGTTAGCAATTATAGGTCAAAGTATGGCCTTCAACACAGAGCCTTGGCTCACCCCAAACAGCAAGCTATAAAGGGCTCCAAAATGACTAGTGCAAAACAATTCAAATGGGAAAGCCAACGGTCTAATCTATATAAATAAACTGATTTGCTGAGCGCAGATGTCCAACCTTGAACAGTTGGGGCAAAAATGGACACAATATTCAAGCTTGATATAGGTCTGAATTTGGATTGTAATTAAATATTTGACACATTATAGGTTTCTGACACAGAATAAATGTAGTCAAAGATTTCTTGCTGTTGTGCAATACACTGTGCTGTTGCGCAATACTTAGTAAATCTGTTTTCAGACTATATACAAAGAATTAGCAATTTAATAAATTGTGACCCTCAATTTTTTTTGGAAAATTGACAATTTCTTGAATCTTGAGGGAACAAAAATAGACCCCCCCCCCCAAAAAAAAACTGTTTTTTTACCCATCCTCCAAAAAAAAATAATATTTGAAGAGAATTTTCTTTCGAGGAAAAAAAACCTTCCAAAAAAAATAATTTTGAATGAATTTTCTTCATGTAAAATGTGGTACAAATTAAGAGACATCCATACACTTAAACACAAGTTATTGTCCTGAAACTAGAAAAATGCTTGTTTTGGCCCCTAATTCCTAAACGGTTGGGACCATCACCCCAAAAAACAATCCCAACCTTCCTTGTGATGTATTGAACGTTTTGATTAAATTTCATAGAGATCCATACACTTAACTTAAACTAAAGTTATTGTCCGGAATCCAAATGTATGATTTGAATTTATATTCAATTGAAGATTTCTTGCTGTTGTGCAATACTATGGTAAATCTGTTTTCAGACTATATACAAAGAATTAGCAAAATAAATTGTGACCGCCATTAAAATTTTTCTTTGGAAAATTGACAACTTCTTAAATCTTGAGGGAATAAAAATTGACCCCTCCCCCTCCAAAAAAAAATAATATTTGAAGATAATTTTCTTTTGAGGAAAAATAATTGCCCCCCCAAAAATTTTTTTTTTTTAAACCCCCCCCCCCCCCCCCCTTTCCAAAAAAATAAATTTAGAAGAATCTTTCTTTTTGTAGAATGTGGTACAAATTAAGAGACATCCATACACTTAAACACAAGTTATTGTCTGAAAACTAGAATAAAATGCTCCGCAGGGCACAGCTTGATACGACCGCAGAGGTCGAACCCTGAACAGTTGGGGCAAGTATGGACACAACATTCAAGCTTGATACAGCTCTGAATTTGGATTGTGATTAAATATTTGACACAGCATAGGTTTCTGACACAGAATGAATGTGGTCTAAGAACTTAAAAATTTTAAATTTGACATTCACCTATTATGGTCCAATATCCAAAATCTAAATACATGGTTAGATTCAGCATATCAAAGAACCCCAAGAATTCAATTTTTGATGAAATCAAACAAAGTTTAATTTTGGACCCTTTTGACCTCAATGTGGACAAAGTTGATAATGGGGCCCAAAAATCAAAAATCTAAATACATGTTTAGATTCAGCATATCAAAGAACCCCATATATTCAATTTTTGTTGAAATCAAACAAAGTTTAATTTTGGGCCCCGATTTGGACCAACTTGAAAACTGGGCCCATAATCAAAAATCTAAATACATGTTTAGATTCAGCATATCAAAGAACCCTAAGAATTCAATTTTTGTTAAAATCAAACTAAGTTTAATTTTGGACCCTTTGGACCTTAATGTAGACCAATTTGAAAACGGAACCAAAAATTAAGAATCTAAATACACGGTTAGATTCGACATATCAAAGAACCCCAATAATTCAATTTTTGATGAAATCAAACAAAGTTTAATTTTGGACCCTTTGGACCTCAATGTGAACCAATTTAAAAACGGGGCCCAAAATCCAAAAACTTAATACACAGTTAGAATCAGCATATTAAAGAACCCCAAGAATTCAAGAATAAAACCCCATTGAAATTGGTCAAGAAATAAGCAATTTATACGAAGTATCTTCTTTTGCACAATACTGTGCAATTGAATATTTCTTGCTATTGCGCAATACTGTACAATTGACAATTTCTTGCTATTGCGCAATATTGTGCTATTGAATATTTCTTGCTATTGCACAATACTGTGCAATTGAAGATTTCTTGCTATTGCGCAATACTGTGCAATTGAAGATTTCTTGCTATTGTGCAATACTGTGCAATTAAAAATTTCTTGCTATTGCACAATACTTATTTTATAATAATTTACACATCCTGTTTGGTGTGTATCTCCTACCATATCATTATTATTTGCTTTTAAATATAAAACAGAAATAACCAACTTAATGTGGAAAATTTTAAAAGAAAAAAAAAAAAATCCCCCCCCCCCCATTTTTTTGAACCCCCTTATGATTCATCACCCCCAAACTCAATCCCAGCCTTCCCTTTGTGGTATGGTACCTTGCAGTAAAATTTCAGAGAGATCCATACACTTGAACACAAGTTATTGTCTGGAAACTAGAAAAATGCTTATTTTTGGCCCCTTTTTCCTAAATGTTTTGGGCAATTACCCCCAAACTCAATTCCAGCTTTCCCTTTGTGATATGGAACCTTGTAGTACAATTTCATAAAGATCCATACACTTACACACAAGTTATTATCATGAAACTAGAAAAATGCTTGTTTTTTGCCCCTTTTGTGGCCCCTAATTCCTAATATTTAGAGGCAATTACCCCCAAAATCAATCCCAGCATTCCCTGTGTGATATGGAACCTTGTGGTACACTTTCAGAGAGAACCATACACTTGAACACAAGTTATTGTCTGGAAACTAGAAAAATGCTTATTTTTGGCCCCTTATTCCTAAATGTTTTGGGCAATTACCCCCAAACTCAATTCCAGCTTTCCCTTTGTGATATGGAACCTTGTAGTACAATTTCAGAAAGATCCATACACTTACACATAAGTTATTGTCATGAAACTAGAAAAATGCTTATTTTTGGCCCCTTTTTGGCCCCTAATTCCTTAAATGTTGGTACCATAACCCCCAAAATCAATCCCAACCTTCCTTTTGTGATATTGAACCTTATGGTAAAATTTCATCAAGATCCATTCACTTAAACTAAAGTTAGAGTGCGAAAACCAATGTGTCTTCGGACGACGACGACGACGACGACGCCAACGTCATACCAATATACGTCAGCAAAAATTTTTTGCGGTCGTATAAAAACAGTTTTAGACCCTTATTGGCTCCCAATTCCTGCTCCGTTTGGGCAATTACCCCCAAAATGAATCCCAACCTTCTACTTGTGGTATTGAACCTTGTGTACAATTTCATAGCAATTAAAATACTTTATACAAGTTATTGTCCTGAAACTAGAAAAATGCTTGTGGGTAAAAGGGGGGGGGGGGGGGTTCAAATGACCATGGCCAAGTAAAACTGCTTACACATCTTTTATTCTTATCAAGTAATTATAAAAGAATTATTCCTTGTAAAGTTGTTTAAATAGCTATGACAATTTGATAGCTCACTTCAGAGCGGACACATTTTCACATATGTGGTTAAATTATCTGGGTACTAAGTGAGATTCATTTCCCAACAATCTAATAACTCAATAGTTTTAAAACCTTTATTCTATGGTCCTCTACCCTACAAATCTTATACAATTTTTATAGCTTCCTATGCAGAGTGGGTTTTGCTCATTGTTAAAGGCTGTACCCTGGCCTGGTGGAGAGTTGTCTCATTGGCAATCATATCACATCTTATTTTTATAGTAATAAATATTACTGGTCAGTAGTTTAAGAAAAAATTCTCTGTAGATTGAAGCTGCATGTGCTTAGATTGATCTCTTGCATAAAAATAAAATAAAATGTTTTCCTGCCTGCTTTCTCTTTGAAATTTCTTACATTAGGGGGAATCAGCATTCAATTTCTGGGTACAGATTTGTTTTATACAGACGGACAACCACCATTTCTATATTGCCCACACCACACGCAAGACAGGGGACAAAAATACACTAGTTATCAACCATCAAAAATCGGAAATACTTCAATACATATAATGACTAAGTGTGTTATTGACATATACATATATATATGTATATTTCTACTTTTAGGGATGCCTAAAAAAAAGCAATACCTGCAGGAGTCTCTTGATAAAGCTGTTGGTGCAGTGAATTCTAACAAAATGAGCATTTCAAAAGCAGCTAAAGAATATGGGGTTCCGCGGACAACTATATCCGACCATGTCAATGGAAAATACGACAACCATTTGAATGGGCCTTCAAAAATGCTAACAGATGAGGAAGAGACATCCTTGATCAACTATGTCAAGTATATGTCTGAAAGGGGTTTCCCATTGACGAGAAGGATGTTGAAGGCATTTGTTCTTTCAATCGTGGAAAAATCAGGCAGGAAAACACTTTTTAATATGGACAAAGGTCCGAGCAACAAATGGATCAACAAACTCCTGAACAGACACAGGGAACTGTCGGAAAAACTTCCTGAACAGCAGGACAAAGCCAGGAGGCGTATGTCGAATGTCACAGTTGTGGACCAGTATTTTAAACTGCTTTCTGACACAGTTGATAGTTTAGGTTTGACAAATAAACCTAACCAAATCTTTAATTGTGATGAATCTGGGTTCAGTGGCAAAGAAAAAAGTAAAGAAAAAGTTTTAACTCTAAAAGGTTCCCATAGTTATCAGCAAAAAGTGATGGTGCATGGTCACATCACTGTACATATGTGCATAGGTGCTGATGGACATGTCCTTCCATCTTTTATCATTTTTGACGACTGCCTTCCACACAGGAACTTTAAAGATGGTGTTCCAGATACCTGGCTGTACGGCTCATCTGAATCAGGTTATATGGACACAGAGTTATTTGAAAACTGGTTTGACAAAGTGTTCCTCCCATTCTGTGGAACCAGAAGACCAGTGTTATTAATATTTGACAACCATGACTCACACATTAGTATCGACCTGATTGAAAAGGCTAAGGCAAACAACATCCACATTATTGGCTTACCACCACACACTACTCATCTGCTTCAGCCCCTTGATGTTGCCATCTTTGGTCCCTTGAAAGAAAAGGTCAACCAATTAGCTGTGACAGTGGGAAACCTGAACAAGTCTGCCACCATAGGCAAAGCAAAGTTTCCTGCTTTATTAAGGTATTTACAGTATGCTGGGTTATGATTAAAATATTTATTTGGTATAAATGAATTTTGTATTGCAATGGTTAATTATCATTCGACAATTTAACTTATTTAGTGAAATTTATTTTCATTTCAATGGGAAAAAATATTTTGCTGACAAATAACAAGCATTTTGGTACACAATTTTGGTACACAATATAAGGAAACATTATCTTCAAATCAAATTACAAATTTTGTTTAAAATAAGAGTGCTTAACTCATAATTTAATTAATAATAGTTTGTACACTTATTTCACCTGATAAATAGAATGATATACACAACCAAAATTTATGATTCCACGCTTCCTCTTCACCTTGGCAGAATAATTCATATTTTCATGATTTTCAAATCAACAAGGTATTGATTTCCATCGGTCTCAGTAGTTACTAGCTGTATCCTTTCATTAAGCATCTGTAAGGAAATATAGTAACATGTAGTCATTGTAGATGAAAAAAAAAAAGAAATGGGGAATGTGTTCCCATGGACACAGATGATGCCCCAGCTAGCATATAAAGTTATAAAGGGACATAAATTAAGAACGGTAAAAGTGACACTACCAAATTTGTACTTGATCTGAGTTTTGTTGAAATAAGCATTGTGTATAAGTTTCATAACATTTGCTCGAGGCAAGCTAAAGTTAGAGAACGGAAACCAATTTTGGGACGTACGTACAGATGGACAAGGGGTAAAACTTAATGGCCCCTCCGCTACGGCGGGGGCATAAAAATAACAAAGAATGTGTCCATAGTACACGGATGCCCCACTCCGATATCGTTTTCTATGTTCAGTGGACTGTGAAATTGGGGTCAAAACTCTAATTTGGTATTAAAATTAGAAAGATCATATCATATGGAACATGTGTACTAAGTCTCAAGTTGATTGGACTTCAACTTCATCAAAAACTACCTTGACCAAAAACTTTTAACCAGAAGCGGGACAGACAGACGAATGGACGGACACACAGGCCGAAAAACATTTATAATGCCCCTAGGTGGGGCATAAAAAAGAAGAATGTGTCTTGAGGACATAAATGCCACAACTCTCGTTTTGAAAAGAAAATGGGACAGAAGGAAGGTTAAGGGTAACATTTAATGCCCTTGGAAAATTTGAAAGTTATGGCTGATTTATAATGTTTCTTTTGCATTTGTGAGCTCATTGTTTCTTACTTGTTGATATTCAAATTTTAGTCACATGAAGCACACCAACTTTTATTTCACATCACTTGCATAATCTTATTACTGTATGATATAACCCATGACAAGAACAAATACCTTATAACTACTTTTCACTTTATAAATTCTTCCTTCTCGAATAATGGGTATGATTTTTATTTCCAGCACTGCAATTGACCAGACTTTATCCTTAGCACGTGTGAAAGAGTCTTTTAGGAAATCTGGAATGTATCCTGTAGACAGGTCCATAATTCCCAATTCTCAACTAGCTCCAGCAGACTTTCATAAAACTGAAAAGGGAAATAAAGAGATTACAGATGTAGATGTTACAATTATCACTAGTAATGGTAATATTTTGTAAACTATGTTAAAGCAAGCATTATGCTCCTGATTTCAACACTTAACTCCGTAGATTAAGAAATGTTTGCATGCATCTGTTAAACAAGAGTGCACACGCTGAAATGTCTCGCCTTCTTTACTAATCATTGATATTATGTTGATAGTATTAAATATAAAGCTTTATTACAACTGTCACATAAACTTAACATTAACCAAGTAAACTAAACATTGACCAATGAACCATGAAAATGAGGTCAAGGTCAGATGAACCATGCTAGGCAGGCATGTACAGCTAACAATTCTTCCATACAACAAATAGAGTTGACCTATTGCTTATATTTTAAGAAAAACAGACCAAAACACAAAAACTTAACACTGAGCAATGAACCTTGAAAATGAGGTCAAGGTCAAATAAAACCTGCGTGACTGCCAAATAGATCATAAAATATTTCCATACACCAAATATAGTTGAACTATTGCATATAGTATAAGAAAAACAGACCAAAACACAAAAACTTAACTATAACCACTGAACCATGAAAATGAGGTCAAGGTCAGATGACACCTGCCAGTTGGACATGTACACCTTACAGTCCTTCCATACACCAAATATACTAGACCTATTGCTTATAGTATCTGAGATATGGACTTGACCACCAAAACTTAACCTTGTTCATTGATCCATGAAATGAGGTCGAGGTCAAGTGAAAACTGTCTGACGGGCATGAGGACCTTGCAAGGTACGCACATACCAAATATAGTTGAACTATTGCACATAGTATTAGAAAAAAAGACCAAAACTCAAAAACTTAACTTTGCCCACTGAACCATGAAAATAAGGTCAAGGTCAGATGACACCTGCCCGCTAGACATGTACACCTTACAATCATTCCATACACCAAATATAGTAGACCTATGGCATACAGTACAAGAAAAACAGACCAAAACACAAAAACTTAACTATAACCACTGAACCATGAAAATGAGGTCAAGGTCAGATGACACCTGCCAGTTGGACATGTACACCTTACAGTCCTTCCATACACCGAATATACTAGACCTATTGCTTATAGTATCTGAGATATGGACTTGACCACCAAAACTTAACCTTGTTCATTGATCCATGAAATGAGGTCGAGGTCAAGTGAAAACTGTCTGACGGGCATGAGGACCTTGCAAGGTACGCACATACCAAATATAGTTGAACTATTGCACATAGTATTAGAAAAAAAGACCAAAACTCAAAAACTTAACTTTGCCCACTGAACCATGAAAATAAGGTCAAGGTCAGATGACACCTGCCCGCTAGACATGTACACCTTACAATCATTCCATACACCAAATATAGTAGACCTATGGCATACAGTATAAGAAAAACAGACCAAAACACAAAAACTTAACTATAACCACTGAACCATGAAAATGAGGTCAAGGTCAGATGACACCTGCCAGTTGGACATGTACACCTTACAGTCCTTCCATACACCGAATATACTAGACCTATTGCTTATAGTATCTGAGATATGGACTTGACCACCAAAACTTAACCTTGTTCATTGATCCATGAAATGAGGTCGAGGTCAAGTGAAAACTGTCTGACGGGCATGAGGACCTTGCAAGGTACGCACATACCAAATATAGTTGAACTATTGCACATAGTATTAGAAAAAAAGACCAAAACTCAAAAACTTAACTTTGCCCACTGAACCATGAAAATGAGGTCAAGGTCAGATGACACCTGCCCGCTAGACATGTACACCTTACAATCATTCCATACACCAAATATAGTAGACCTATGGCATACAGTATAAGAAAAACAGACCAAAACACAAAAACTTAACTATAACCACTGAACCATGAAAATGAGGTCAAGGTCAGATGACACCTGCCAGTTGGACATGTACACCTTACAGTCCTTCCATACACCGAATATACTAGACCTATTGCTTATAGTATCTGAGATATGGACTTGACCACCAAAACTTAACCTTGTTCACTGATCCATGAAATGAGGTCGAGGTCAAGTGAAAACTGTCTGACGGGCATGAGGACCTTGCAAGGTACGCACATACCAAATATAGTTATCTTATTACTTATAATAAGAGAGAATCTAACATTACAAAAAATCTTAACTTTTTTTTCAAGTAGTCACTGAACCATGAAAATGAGGTCAAAGACATTGGACATGTGACTGACGGAAACTTCGTAACATGAGGCATCCATATACAAAGTATGAAGCATCCAGACCTTCCACCTTCTAAAATATAAAGCTTTTAAGAAGTTAGCTAACGCCGCCGCCGCCGCCGCCGTAGCCGCCGCCGCCGGATCGCTATCCCTATGTCGAGCTTTCTGCGACAAAAGTCGCAGGCTCGACAAAAATGGAAAAAAAATTGAGATTTTTTTTTTAATTTCTGGAAAAGTGGCCACATCTTTAATTATTTGCAAATCTATTCTATTTTTGTGACACCTAATTCATGCAACATTATCAAGAATTCAAACATCACAAAGATTTCTGAATTTACCATATGAAATTGTTAAAAAAAGTTCTGATGTATAAAGTTTTAAAATGTCTGATGTTATAGTTTGACACTGTAAAAAGACATATGACATCATACTGTTGCATGTATGTGCAAAAGAGTAGATCAACGATTCACAGAATTTTTAATTTATCACAAAAGAGTGTTGACCATAAGAGAAATAGGTTTAACAACTCTTGAGAATTGGATATCGCATCATATCAACTCTCGTAAAAATTAGTTTAATCCTTAAAATATTTCCATACATCAAATATAGTTGACCTATTGCATACAGTTTAAAAAAAAGAGACCAAAACACAATAAAATGCTTCGCTGAGAGCAGCCTGATACGACTGCAGAGGTCAAATCTTGAACAGTTGGGGCAAGTTTGGACACAATATTCAAGCTTGATACTGTCTGAATTTGGATTGTGATCCAATTTTTGACATAATATAGGTTTCTGACACAATTTGTCAAAATAAATGTGGTCAATGATCTTAAAAATTTGAAATGGGACATTTAATTTACCTAGTATGGTCTGATATCTAAAATCTAACAACATGGTTATATTCAGCATATAAAAAAACACCAATAAGGCCAAGGAAATTTAATTAGTAGATTTTCATCCAAATTTTTGAAAAAAATGGGGTGGGTGGGAGGATTTTATTTTTTATTTTTTATTAAATATGAAACGCTCTTGTGACGTGTTCTTCATATATGCAAGTGTAATAATAAGGTTCTATCGTGTATATACATGTATAACGAATCAAACATAAAAAGAAATGCAAAAACCAAAATTTGAAACAGGAAGTTATTAATGAAACGAAATTATCGAAAGTTACCGGTAACGAAAATGAACAAAATCCGGAAATCCTAAATGTTTCAAAATAAAAAAAATTGGGGCGGAACGATTTCAGAGGGGCGGGCGGGGATGAAAATCTATCAATTAATTTTAATTAGCCTAATTTAATTTTAGTTGAAATCAAACAAAGTTTAATTTTGGACCCTTCAAACCTTAATATGAACTAATTTGAAAACAGGGCCCAAAATAAAAATCTAAATGCACAATAAGATTCAGCAACACAATTTAGACCAATTTAAAAATTGGGCCCAATATAAAAAAAATTATACAAGGTTAGAACCCTCAAAAAATTAAAGACTTAATTAATCTGATCAAAATTGGTTCAAATATTTGTATTTGTTTTCAATTGAAGATTTCTTATTGCGCAATACTGTGCAATTGAAGATTTCAAAAATTTGAAGAAAAAAAATGAACCCCCCCAAAAAAATATCCCCCCAACATTTTGAACACCACAACCCCCCCCCCCCCCCCCCTCCCCCTTTTAGAGTAATTAACCCCAAAGCAATCCCAGCCTTCCCTTTGTGATATGGAACCTTGTGGTACAATTTCAGAGAGATCCATACACTTACACACAAATTATTGTCCGGAAACTACAAAAATGCTTGTTTTTGGCCCCTTATTCCTAAACTGTTGGTACCATCACCCCAAAATCAATCACAACCTTCCTTTTGTGGTATTGAACCTTCTGGTAAAAAATCATAGAGATCCATTCTCTTAAACTAAAGTTATTGTCCGGAAACCAAATGTGTCTTCGGATGACAACATCATAGTATTATACGACGCAATTTGCAGTTGTATAAAAACTAAACTTTAACCACTGAACCATGAAAATGAAGTGAAGGTCAGATGATACCTACCAGACAGACACATACAGCTTACAATCATTACACACACCAAATATAGTTGACCAATTGCTTCAAGTTTTAAGAAAAACAGACCAAAACACAATAAAATGCTCCGCAGGGCGCAGCTTGATACGACCGCAGAGGTCGAACCCTGAACAGTTGGGGCAAGTATGGACACAACATTCAAGCTTGATACAGCTCTGAATTTGGATTGTGATTAAATATTTGACACAGCATAGGTTTCTGACACAGAATGAATGTGGTCTAAGAACTTAAAAATTTTTAAATTGGACATTCACCTATTATGGTCCAATATCCAAAATCTAAATACATGGTTAGATTTAGCATATCAAAGAACCCCAAGAATTCAATTTTTGATGAAATCAAAGTTTAATTTTGGACCCTTTTGACCTCAATGTGGACAAAGTTGATAACGGGGCCCAAAAATCAAAAATCTAAATACATGGTTAGATTCAGCATATCAAAGAACCCCATATATTCAATTTTTGTTGAAATCAAACAAAGTTTAATTTTGGACCCTGATTTGGACCAACTTGAAAACTGGGCCCATAATCAAAAATCTAAAAACATGTTTAGATTCAGCATATCAAAGAACCCTAAGAATTAAATTTTTGTTAAAATCAAACTTAGTTTAATTTTGGACCCTTTGGACCTTAATGTAGACCAATTTGAAAACGGAACCAAAAATTAAGAATCTAAATACACGGTTAGATTTGGCATATCAAAGAACCCCAATAATTCAATTTTTGATGAAATCAAACAAAGTTTAATTTTGGACCCTTTGGACCTCAATGTGGACCAATTTAAAAACGGGGCCCAAAATCCAAAAACTTAATACACGGTTAGATTCAGCATATTAAAGAAGAACAAGAATTCAAGAATAAAACCCCATTGAAATTGGTCAAGAAATAAGCAATTTATACGAAGTATCTTCTTTTGCACAATACTGTGCAATTGAATATTTCTTGCTATTGCGCAATACTGTACAATTGACAATTTCTTGCTATTGCGCAATATTGTGCTATTGGATATTTCTTGCTATTGCGCAATACTGTGCAATTAAAGATTTCTTGCTATTGCGCAATACTGTGCAATTGAAGATTTCTTGCTATTGCACAATACTTATTATATCCTGTTTGGTGTGTATCTCCTACCATATCATTATTATTTGCTTTTAAATATAAATCAGAAATAACCAACTTAAAATGGAAAATTTTAAAAGAAAAAAAAAGGAAAAAAAGAAAAAAAAAGGAAAGAAACCCCCCCCCCCCCCAAATTTTTTGAACCCCCTTATGATTCATCACCACCAAACTCAATCCCAGCCTTCCCTTTGTGGTATGGTACCTTGCAGTACAATTTCAGAGAGATCCATACACTTGAACACAAGTTATTGTCTGGAAACTAGAAAAATGTGTTTTTTGGCCCCCAATTCCTAAACGTTTCGGGCAATAACCCCCAAACTCAATTCCAGCTTTCCCTTTGTGATATGGAACCTTGTAGTACAATTTCAGAAATATCCAAACACTTACACACAAGTTATTGTCATGAAACTAGAAAAATGCTTGTTTTTTCCCCCTTTTTTGGCCCCTAATTCCTAAAATTTTAAGGCAATTACCCCCAAAATCAATCCCAGCATTCCCTGTGTGATATGGAACCTTGTGGTACAATGTCAGAGAGATCCATACACTAACACACAAGTTATGTCTGGAAGTTACAAAAATGCTTATTTTTGGCCCCTAATTCCTTAACTGTTGGTACCATAACCCCCAAAATCAATCCCAACCTTCCTTTTGTGGTATTGAACCTTATGGTAAAATTTCATAGAGATCCATTCACTTAAACTAAAGTTAGAGTGCGAACATCAATGTGTCTTCGGTTGACGACGACAACGAAGACGACGCCAACGTCATACCAATATACGACCGCAAAATTTTTGCGGTCGTATAAAAACTAAACATGGAGCAATGAACCATGAAAATGAGGTCAAGGTCAAATAAAACCTGCCAGACTGACATGTACATCGTATAATATATCCATACACTAAATATAGTTGACCTATTGAATACAGTATTAGAAAAACAGACTAAAACACAAACATGTAACATTGAGCAATAAACCGTGAAAATGAGGTCAAGGTCAAATAAAATCTGCCAGACTGACATGAACATCGTAAAATATTTCCATACATCAAATATAGTTGACCGACTGCATACAGTTTAAAAAAACAGACCAAAACACAAAAACTTTAACTTTAACCACTGAACCATGAAAATGAGGTCAAGGTCAGATAACACCTGCCAGTTGGACATGTACACCTTGCAATCATTACATACACCAAATGTAGTAGACCTATTGCTTACAGTATCTGAGATATGGACTTGACCATGAAAACTTGACCTTGTTCACTGATCCATGAAATGAGGTTGAGCTCAAGTGAAAACTGTATTAAAGCTCATGAGGACCTTGCAAGGTTCACACATACATGTACCAAATAAAGTTATCCTAGTATTACTCTTTATATGAGAGAAATTAACATTACAAAAAATCTTGATTTTTATTTCAAGTAGTCACTGAACCATGAAAATACGGTCAAGGACAATGGAAATATGACAGACGGAAACTTCATATCATAAGGCCTCTATATACAAAGTATGAAGCATCCAGGTCTTCTATCTTCTGAAATATTAAGCTTTTAAGGTGTAATACCACCATTGATTTTCCCCTATTAGTCTTTGTTAAATTTGCACTTTTCAAAAAATTGTGCAGAATTTATCTTTGTTTCAAATAAAGAAATACTTGGCATGAGTAAAGTTTTATCCTGTCCAGTACTATAGAAAAAATTTCACATAACATTTCATTGCATATAAGAAAATAACCATCACTGGAAGTTAACCAATCAAATTTTCCCCCTTTTTTAACCTGTGTACAAGCTTTAGTAACCATGTAACCTCAAGTTTCCAAAATATTCTATAGAAACCCCAAATAAAGAAATAATAGTGCTTTGAAATACCCAAGATATATGTTTATGACTCAGAAATGTTTTACTGCAATGAAATGTAGGATCAATTACCTACAACTGTCAAATTCAAGGGAATATTTTTTTTCGACCTATTTTCGCATGCAACCGGATGTGACGTACTATGATTTGGTGGTATTACACCTAAAGAAGACTTTTTTGTTGAATAAACTGAATGTGACTTTTTTCCTTTGTAATACTGGTTATTTCAAGCATTCCTGTCAAGTTTTGTCATAATCAGTTCAATAGTTTGAGAAAAATCTAGTATAATGTAAGACGACATCTACAGCGATTCGAACAAAATTTCTTCGAAAAATTCAAACCAAGCCGCATCATGATAGAATATAGTGTGGACCAAAAAATGATCAAATATTTATCTCATCTGCCTACAAACAGTTGAATATGATACAAAAGATGACTTTAGGATGATAAATACTACTAATGGACCTCTTATTCTTCCTGATAAAGTCTCTTTTGGTCCATTTATACCTCTCATTTCCTCAAAATTTCTACTTTTTAGGCCAATAAATAAAAATTTTGGGGTAACTTTCACTCATTTATGATAGAAATGTTATTATAAATGATGAATTGAAGTATTCAAGCTGCTTGAACTATCCGTATAAAAGTTTACTGTCTCCAAGAAGGTTTCAATAAGTCCTTGCGTAAAACTTAAATTTACGCCGCGTTCCAGAGAGGGACATAAAAAACTTCTCTCTTGGTGAATAATTTGTTGTTACTGCTTTAAAAATAATTTCATTTACTTAAAACTATATATTTATTAAAGTATTTCTTAGGAAAAATTTTCTAGTATAGCAGAATATAAGAAATAAGAAGAAAAAGCTCCCCAAGACTCTAAGTATGGCTTGTTCTGTCAACTAATATTCATGGTAAAGTCCTATTTCAAGGAAATTTTCTCATAAAATCAGGGTTCGACATTAACTTTTATACCAACTTGTCCAGTTGGGCAAGTGCCCTATTACTTTTACTTGTCCGAAAGTGAAATCTACATGCCCAAACTTTTACATGCTATTTTTGTGGTTGTAATGTAGTACATGCAGATAAAATATAGTTATCATGTATATGGGGTGTAAATTGATTATGGAGTATGAAAATATACTATTGGATCATTTACATAGAGATACTTATTTCATAATAATTTATCTAAGAAATGCCATTTCAAAAAACCCTTCTTGATAAACTGACAACAACTGACAAATTTGTTAAAGTTTAATTTCATTTTCTCTTTCAAGCTTTTACGTTTTTCCATCTTAGGGAAATACACATCCGATGTCAAATTATAAAGTTAGAACAACGAAAATAGACCTCCGCTTTCCATTGGTCGGTGGGAATAACACGTGCGTCGGAAACGCCCGAGTGGTGTCCCGATGGATAACGATAATGACGAAGCAACGCCGCGGCTGCCTGATTGGCCAATATTTTTAAACGTGATCAAGGGAATATTTTTTTTCGACCTATTTTCGTATGCAACCGGATGTGACGTACTATGATTTGGTGGTATTACACCTTAAGAAGTTAGTTATAACGCCACCGCCGGATAAATATCCCTTTGTCAAGCATGTCAAGCTGTTTGTAACAGAAGCCACAGGCTAGACAAAAAAACCTAAAAAAATATTTTAATAATATTCAGATGAATGTTTTGTGTTTATTATTTAATTCAACGATGAATGCGAAGTGAAAATAAATATTAACATCGAGCATATATATCATATAGTAATAATAAACTCACCGAAGGCTCGTTATTATATAGAAATTAAATAACACAAGTTGTTATCAAGCGATATCCTATTCTCACTCGTTATGAAACCTATAATCATTGTTTCACAGGTATAAACAGTTCTATCCTGAGTTTGACAATAACTCATTAGCCTTTCAATTAATACTATTATAGTGTAAATTTTTTTTCTTTTGTAGAGCACCAGGAATCAACAATTCTTTGTCACTGTTGTGGCAACACTTTAACATACACAACAGAAACTGAGCTGAACAAAACAACAGAAAATCCACTCGTTACAAAAAACTTAATCCCAAAAAGTTTAGCTGATGTGTTGTTACCCCCTGCAAATCCATCTCAGGCAAAAAAAACTTCTAGTAAAATTGTAACAGAAGCAAGAGTCATTACAGGGGATGAAATGCTACAGAAACTGCAGTATAAGCATGATGAAGCAAAAAAGTTGGAAGAAGAGAAAGAAAAGAGGAAAACAGAAAGAGCGAGAAAGAAGGAAGAAGCTGAAGTTTTAAAGGAGGCAAAGAAGGAGGAAAGAGAAAGGAAGAAAAGAGACAGAGAATTGAGAGACACTGAAAAAGAAGACGAAAGAGAGAGGAAGAGACAGAGGAAGGAAGAAAAAAGAAATAAGCAATCTAACCAACAAATCACTGCTCAAGTCCACCAGTATTCTACATGTAGTAATTCATCTGTAGACAGTAGAAGAAGTAGCAGAGTGAAGACACCTTTAATAAGGGAAGAGTTTTTACAATTTGATAGTGATATTGACATTATTGAGACAATGGAAGAATAGGGAATAAAACAAAAATCTATCCAAAGACTCTTGTCATACTGAATTTGAAGAACTGTGCAATTTGTTTTTAAATAATGTTTGAGATCGCAATTGCATTTTATTGATTTAAATTTCATACTGTTCATAACAAACTTATTGCTGCAATATTGATAAAATTTTGATAACACAAATATCTTCTGTAGGGGATACAATCAATTTTTTCACTTCTATATTTCATGTAAATTTTAAGCTACAGAAAATCATATTTTTTCCTAATCTTTAAATTCAACATATTGATTAGATTACCTTTATTTGCCCTCTTCATATTGTATCTGGAAGTAAAATTAAAAAGTGGTAGCGATAAAGTTTTAACCCATGATTTGGATTCACAAAATGAAAAAAATAATCAATGGTCAAGTTGCAAAACTATTACGTTATTGGTAATTCTAAAACAAAAACAAATGAATGTACATGCGGTTTTTGAAACATTGAAAAGAAAATTATATGAAAAATAACAAGTACTTCAAGAAGTACACACAAGTTCCATGTACAATGTATACCTTCCAGTATATACCAATATTTTAGCAACTGATTTTTGAAGATGTTAATTATAAACAAGTTGATGTATCCAATAATCTGAAACTTTCATAAAAACATTTTATATAACTTTTTAACCATCTAAAAATTTAGGGTCAGTAATTGGGCTATACTGTTCTCACAAAAGATTTTTTAAAGGATGTAATCATAAAGGACTCCTCCTTGTTTGTCTTGACCTGTCCCGCTAAAATGTACTACAAGTTCACCATCACTTCAGATAACCTGGATTTTTTTTTCAAGTAATAAAGGAATATTTTGTTCATTTAACAATGTTTAATGAAATACTTGTACATGATATAGCAGACATGTGTATTTAACCTTCAATTTACTAGCATACTCAAATTAAAAAAAAATTGTGTTTACAGTATCAGAAATTGATGATTTGACTTTGTTTTGATATGCCAATGTATTGAAACTAGAGGCTCTCAAGAGCCTGTGTCGCTCACCTGATTCTACTTTAATTTTGGAAATCATGTTAAAATAGATTAAAATCATAACATATACCCTAAATATGAGTGAGGCCAAATTTGGTTTAATATTGGCCCTGTAATTTTATAAAAAATCCTGGTGGCCATCTTGAACAGTAAATCAGCAACAAAGTAGCAACACTTCATCAGCACCTCATAAGAAACATTTATGCCATGTTTGGTTTCATTCCATTCAGTGCACCTCTAGAAGAAGCATGTGTATGTATTTCCAATGGGATCTTATGTTAAAGAAAGTCCCCCCGCTGGCGGTCATCGTGGATGAAGGATCAGCTTCAAAGTAACAACACTTAGTCAGCACCACATAAGGAACATTCATGCCATGTTTGGTTTCAATCCATTCAATGGTTCTCAAAAAGAAGACTTTTGTATGTATGGTCCATAGGGTCCTTTGTTAAACATAGTCCCCCGCAGGCGGCCATCTTGGATTATGGATCGGCTTCAAAGTTATAACACTTGGTCAACACCTCAAAAGGAACATTCATGCCATGTTTGGTTTCATTCCATTCAGTGGTTCTTTAAAAGAAGACATTTGTATGTATTTCCCTTAGGGTCCTATGTTAAACTAAGTCCCCCCTTGGCGGCCATCTTGGATGATGGATCGGCTTCAAAGTAACAACACTTTGTCAGCACCTCATAAGGAACATTCATGCCATGTTTAGTTTCATTCCATTCAGTGGTTCTCTAGAAGAATTTCAAAATGTAAAAAGTTAACGACGACGACTGACTATATAGTGTATTTCTCAAACAGGAAAGTTCACTTTCTACTCTTCCCACGAAATCCCACATGATCATGATGCAGAGCTATCTAATTTTGAATTGAACAGAATGTAAAATAAGTGAATGAGTTATAAATATTAAATAATAATATGAATAAATATTCTTTATTTAGTTTGTTCTTTATTCTCAATTCTTTTTTTTATTAATAATCTCATTATTCTCTAGGATTCTTTATTCTATATTTCTGCTTTTTTTTCTATCTGTTCTTTATTTTGCACTTTATGTCATTATTTTCTATTCTTAAACCCCCATCTTGATTCCAGACCCTCAAATATACGTAAATGTACGAAAGCTTGCATGGTACGTCAAACACGAAAACCTGGAAATCTTTTCACCGTTACCGTTTTTTATACTATGACGCAAAATCCATGGACGCTCACGCGATTATCTGCTGCTGTCTTTTTAAAAGTTTTTATTAAGAATGGACAGAGATAGATGATACAAGGAACTTTGGTTTTTCAAACTGGCGAATCAAAAATTTATTATAAACAGATAAATTGAAATGGGTGACTTGTCGATTAACTGGAAGAAACTGGGGAACGAAACATAGAAAATTTATGAAACGAAAGTCAACGCAACGAAAGTCAAAGTGTTTTTGTTTTGATGGATGATTTTACGTACCCTAAAAGCGCAACGAAAGGTAAATATTATTATGCACATTTTGTTTAATTATTGGATTAAAGCAGAAGATGTATGTGCTTTCACTAAGTTTATTTTTCACGAAAAACTATTTGACTGTAGACTTAGGGGACGACCATTTGATATTCTGGGGGGGGGGGGGGGGGGGGGGGGGGGGGGGGGCAGGAGGATTTTGAAAATAAATAACACAGCCTTGATAATCACAAAAATAAATAGTTTGTCCTGTGGTAGTTCGAAAAAAAAATAACCTGACTTACAATGTATTGAAAATGAATAACTCGGCAGGTCTTTAAGCCATTTTATAAATGCTATTCGAAAGTATGAGGTGGCACCAGATTCTTCATAAAATTCATCTTTTTTCAAAAAAAAATTTGGGAAACACTTCCCAAATCTCTTAATAATAAAGGTATAAATATTATTCAAATATACTTGAAATGTCTGAAAATGGGTTTCATTTAACTTGAGGTATATTGGCTCAGGAACACTTACCTCACTTTTATTACAGGGCTGTAACTACATTGAGGCAAATGCCTTTATGTAGGAAATTTTAAAACCAAAAGCTTGTCTTCATATCAAATTGTTTTCACAGTGAGTGTTTGCAAGAAGCAAGTTCTGTTCTCCCTTGGACGTAGCACCTGTTTTTTCAGGATCAATGTTTCTTTAAATTTGTCTTTTGTTCATTGATTGCCCTTCTGTAATCTCTTAGTGTTACATTTCTTTTGTTTTGTGATTTAGTAATTTTGTTTTCAACTTGATCATGAGTTTTATTTTATTTTAGACTTTTTAGCTAATTTTACAACTTAACTACTTTAAATTGTATCCCAGTTAAGAGCTACATCAAGTTGTAATTGAAATGTGTTATTAAAAATTACTTGACAAAGTTATATCACTGATAATCAGCCCCCTCTTAACTTAATTTGAATAAAACCCCATATAATTTACAGGTATAAAAGATTTAAATTCTGCATGCCGAAAACAGCAACAAAAAAAAAACAAAAAAAAAACAGCAGCCACATACTTAACTATGTGAATTACATTTTTACTTTATTCTTCATATTGGTCTTTTGATGTTGTCCATAAAAACTTAAGTCTTACGCTGAATCTATACATTTTGCTTTGAGACCAAAATATTGTCAAAAAATTATTAAAACAGAACTTGCGTTTTCAGAATAAGAAAGGGTCTGGGAATGCCCAGAAAGCACGATTTTGCATCATTTGTTCTATAGTTTCTTTGGGCCTTCAATGGCTTCAAAACCCTACAAAATTTTTTTGCCTCGCTCTGCTCGGCTTAAATATATTTGGCAATACTTTTAAAAGAGGCTAGTTTGTTTTTTATGTGGGGGGAGGTGGGGCTAGGATGAAATTTGAAAAAAAGGCAGGATGAGACACTTTGCCAAAAAAAAAGGCAGGATGACAATTGATGTAAAAAAATTGTCAGGATAAACTATAAATAAAAAAAAAACAGGACTGAATAGAGTGGAAAAATAAAAATGCAGGACAAAATTTTTCATCCTACCCCCTCCCCCCCTATAAAATCAAATGGTAGCTCCCTAACCTGGGATAGTGGTGTGAAACTGCTCAACTTATCTGACATCAGATCTGTACAAAGCAGACTTAACCACTTTGATTCATCACTTCATACAATGGTCATGACTATATATGGATTTAATAAACATAACATGCATAAGATGGATTAGAACATTCAAATAATTTAATACTTTTGATATAGTTAAATTTTTTTCAGGGCAAGTCTAGATCAGTTGTTCTTGTTTTAAAAGATCAAAATAAGCCAATTTTGCCATATAAAAATATTTAAGGCAATTTGGCAGAAATATTGCAACTTCATTTTATTATACATTTGAACATGTTATACATTATTTCTTTTAGCATTTTCAATGAAAGTACATTTTGTACATGTACTTCAAGAAGTAGAAGAATCTAAGCAACAGAACAGAATTCATTTGAGGCATTGCTTTCTAGATTATATAATGGATTCATAGATTGTCATATTGATTTATGTGCATAAAAGGAGCAGTAGTCAATGACTAATTTTGTGATGAGAGGTATGTAATGAAGAGGATAAATTTGTTTAAATATTATTATTTTGTTGTTGTCAGACTCTGTATACATGTTGCAAGTTTTGAGGTCATAGACATGATAGAGTTGAAAGTTTTGATTCTTGTTGTGGGCTATTTCTATAAGCAGTGACAAATTATTTTTTTTTACAGGTCAATTTTATAGAAAATAGTGTTGGAAGCTCTATTAACACTTCATTGCTTGTTCTTTTTTTGTCTTGCAACAACAGTCATGAAAGTGAGTCTTGGGCATGCTGTAACAGAGGCGAAGTCATAAACAATTTGTTAAAAATTGAGATTAGGTCAGTTTAAGAGGAACCAAACAATAACTTATGGCCGAGTTATGGTTAAATAAGTCAATAATATTTTTTGCAGTAGAAGTAGGATATCCACTTCTCATTTCCATTTCCATTGAGATTATATGGTCCAAATCCCTCAGTCATGGTTGATTGACTTTGATATTTTTACTTAACTTAAATGTGAAAAGTTTCTGATTAGGTCAGTTTGAGTGAACCAATAATGATAAATCTTTGATATTTGGTATGCAGTTGTATATGTCAGAGTACTAGTGCATTTCATATCCCTTGTTTTTATTTTGCCCAGCCCCTCAGTCATGGTCTATTGGTTTTGAAACTTTGTCGAGTCATGGATGGTGTGTGACTTTGGATGTTTAAGCATTGTCATTATAATAACATTTGAAATCAACTAACAGGATTTCATACAGAGAAGACATACTTCTATGTCTAAAGTTTATTCATATGATATTAATGTATACCAAAGGTTTATTATATACCAGTAATGTCTTGGATAAATTAGTTATACAGGAATTACTTCACTTTGAAATGTTATGGTTACATTTTTTTGTCAGATATTTTTGTAATTCATACCATAGGTCTATATCAGCATGGTCTTTTAGTTTTATGAGTTAGAAAATAAGTGATCAAATATGTTTACAGTAGTTATACCTCTTGGAAATAGATATTGTAAGAAAAACTGCATTGCAAGCAATCCCACACATGTCTTCATTTCTTTTAGATTATTTATAATTTATGAAAAAGGTTAAAAGAACATACATATTTTTTGCTTTTTGACAGCAAATTTTATATATCCATCAATTGGCGAGGTACATTGAAGCGCTATTCTTTTATTAAATGCATGAAGTATGGATGGTAACACAAATGACAACATATTATGTTCATGAGTTAATATTGCCTTGTCTGAAAATAGTATATACGTGAAGTACTAACATTGAACTATGGTAACGTTGTAAACCTAATGCTGTAATGAATGACGTTATTGTATAGATTTCATAGCTACAACAACGATTAAACTAACATTGCAATCATAAGTATTTATTGAGATTTCACAACATGCCTTTAAATTGTGTATTTAAACAATTTTGCCTATGTAACAGGAAATCAAGATTTAATAGACATCAAGAGTTAATGCCTAAATGTTGTTTTTTTTAAACTGTAGACAGCAGAATAGATGATTTTATATTAGAAAAAGTTCATACTATACTAAGACGGGC